ACTCCATATTCACTATGACAGTCACTATACTGGGTGTTCACTGTAATAATCGCTGCACTGGGTATTCAGTTTAATGGACAGGTCACTGCACTGGGTATTCACTGTACTGGGTGTTTGCTGTAATATTCACTGTACTGGGTATCGATAATGACTGTACTGGCTGTTCACTGTAATCACCACTGCTTGGTGTATTCAGTGTGCTGTCCGTTATTCACTGTACAGATAAATCCCTGTTTTTTAAGTTAATAGGTGGGCTCCTGAAAAGACTGCCGAACCCAGAAGAGGGAATGTAATTGGAGAGGAGGGACAGGTGAGGTGAGCTGTTTAAATCACCTGTGTGAGACACTGGGGGACTGTGGTGCCGTGAGACACTGGGAGGAAGAGCTCAGCGTTGTCCCCATGCAGGTACTTCTCACTCCTCCCTGATGCAGCTCTGTGTGCGATTCACAGGACAACAGTGGGGAGCTCAGAGAGCAGGTGGAGTCAGAAACTCCTGCTGGTGCACCTGACTCAATATTCTGTACAAACCAGGCAAAGAAATGACATGGAGCCCTTCTCTTGGATATTAACTGTGCTATTTAGTTGGTAAACAGTTTTTTCCTTGAGTTATTTTGTGATGTGTTTGCGGTTTATTCAGTGGAATTATACTCCATTACAGACCAGTTTATTGAATTGCTTTACTACATATTCACTGTGCTGGGTATTCACTATTATGTTCAGGTGGGGAGCTGCATCAGCATGCGTAGGCTGCAAATGAACAAGTAATAGGTTTATTCCATGCTGGGGAAAAAAGAGAACTTGGAATAAACCTATTACTTGTTCATTTACTATTATGGTTTGTCACTTCTGCAGTCTCTTTCCTGAAAAGTTACTGGAAACTCACAGTAGTGTTTAACGGAGATTCACTGTAATGGATAACCTCTGTGCTGCTTATTCACAGTGATGTTTAATCGCTCAACTAGACAGTTTCTTTCCTGAATCATTACTGACTTGACTCGACTGGGTGTTCACCATAAATGTTCAACACTAAGCCAGTGTTTGTCTTGAATGGTTACTGTACAGGTTTGCTGTAATTGCTAGTCAATCTCTGTCCTGACGGTCTTTTTTTACTGGATATTCAGTGTACTAGATGTTTATTGTAATTGTTCATTACTAAGCTAATGATTGTCTTGATGAGAGCAGGAGGTGTTGGGGTATCTGCTGGGGGAGAGCAGTAGGAATTGGGGGTACCAGCTGGCTGAGAGAGAGTGGGGGTATCGGGCTACTGAATTATTTGTGGAACCCTGTAGAGGAAAACTTAAAGTCAAGAGGAAGGACAGACACCCCGACATTGGAGCTCTCTCCCAGTCGGACACCAGGAGCCCCGACGCCCACACCCTCCCCCATCGGCTCCATCTCTCCGGTCGTGTCGTCTGGACGTCGGACTCCAGGATCTCGGGGAAGGTTCCCTCCTCCCAGCCCGGCTCAGGCCTGAGGAGTCTGGGAGATCTGGGAGAAGCCAACAGGGAGAAACTCCTCCTGGACCTCGACTCTGGGATGAGCCCAGCGCCTGGACCCCCCGAAGACTTGGGCTGACCAGGAGGACCCCAGGGGTGCCACAACAATGAAGGGGAGCCCAGGGGTGCCACAACAATGAAGGGGAGCCCAGGGGTGTCAGAACCCCCAGACAAGGTGAGGAAGGGATAAGAGAGCCTTTGGACAAACACACCTGTGTCTTTCCAGGACGGGTCACCAGAACAGCAGCTCGGGACCAGAGCAGTCAGGACTCGGAGCACAGACTGCCCTTCAGGCATGTTTATTCCCACCAGGTGCAGCTCCTGCAGGAGGGACTTGGCCTCTCTGACCTGCAGTTAGAGGACAAGGAGGACAGGGGAACCCCCCATCAGTCAGGCAGGTGAGTGCAGACCAGGTGAGTCTCTCCTTCTCTGGATTTCCCTCGCAGGCGACGCTGGTCTTCATCGATCCTGCGGGGATCCGATCGGACCAGTTGGGGATCTCCACACTCCGAGGGGGCAGAGCCAGGAGTAGTCTCGGGGAGACGGCCAGGATGTCCTGACTGCCTTCCACCTCCTCCTCCCTGCCTGCTGGAGCCTGTGAGGATGAGGATGATGAAGAGCTGCTGGTGACCCTGGTCCAGGTGGAGAGCTTGGACCCCAAGAGGGCTCCTCCTGTCCGGCTTTCAGGGGGTGACCCTCAGGGCTGTGTCCTGACCTCCTGCTGTCTCTCGCCCACAAGATCCTGGTCAGTGTGCTGTTGACACTCTCGTACCTGAGTCCAACCCCAACCTCCAGCCTGAGCACAGGGTCAGGTTAGTCCTGTCACTCCTGTGTCACACTCAGGGCATGAACACACAACCCTACTAGTGAGAGAGGAGAACTGTTAATATTCTACCATTATTTGTATCCAGGTGGATGCTGCACATTGATGGTGGTAGTGGGATTCCCCATGACCTGTAAAGCACTTTGAGTGGAGTGTCCAGAAAAGCGCTATGTAAGTGCAAGCAATTATTATTTGTACTTGATGAAATATTGTTAGCTTTATTGCCAGTAATTGATTTTTTTTATTGGCACCACTTGCACTAGAAGTAGTGTTATTTTTAGCAGGACCAAGAGCTACTGGAGCAATATTGCTGTCATCTTCTGCAGGAGCACAGCTAATTGAACTCGTCTTGTGAAAGACCTCTCGTGTGCGTCTCCCGTGTTCTCTGCAAGTGGAATCTTGTAGTGAGTCCACCAGGATGGGTACGTCTTGTCCGAGAGTGGCTGGGTACGGTGACTCCTCGGTACTACCCAGGTCTGAGGTCAGTGGGCACGTCAGTTCACAACAAGTATGGATGGAGAGATCGGACATGAGTTGGACTCTTTCTACTGTATCACTTTCCTTAATTGTCCAGGATGTCAAGAGGCAGACAGTGGGAAGACGGGTATGTTTGGGAGCCGGAATGGAGGTGGGATTCTCTCTCCTGTCTGTCTTTCTCCTAATTTTCCAGGATGTCCAGAGGCAGACAGTGGAGAGACAGGAATTGGCTTGTATCGGAATCTTGTAACGAGTCCACCGGGATGGGTACGTCTTGTCCGAGAGTCGCTGGGTACGGTGACTCCTCAGTACTACCCATGGCGAGCCTCGAGCTGTGTCCCTCGGATCTGACAGTCCTGTCTGCTTCAGGGTCTTCCTCCTGATCTCCATGACCGCAGTGCAGGTCTTCTCAGCGGCTGTGTGCTGTCAGATCTTCCCGTGGTCGTCACTGGGAGGAGACCCTCCCTGGAGTTAGAGGATCGCTGGTGTCACCTGGGTGTGTCAGGTGTGGGACGTATCTGAGTATCTTTCACTGTGGGGACGGGACACAAACTGGGGGACTTTCAGTGTCCTTTCTGTCCACATTCAGGGGCTGTTTTCTTGCTTTCAGGGCCACTGCGATCTGCAGAGAGCTGCCCTTCTCCTCTACACTCTACAGAGCGGGTTACCGAGACCGGGAGCTGTCCAGGTCTGAGGTCAGTGGGCATGTCGGTTCACAACAAGTATGGATGGAGAGATCGGACATGAGTTGGGCTCTTTCTACTGTATTATTTTCCTTAATGCTCCAGGATGTCCAGAGGCAGACAGTGGGAAGACCAGTATGGTTGGGAGCTGGAATGGAAGTGGGATACTCTGTCCTGTCTCCCTTGTCCCATATTTTCCAGGATGTCCTGAGGCAGACAATGGAGAGACAGGTATGGTTGGGATAAAAGTTGGATGTTTTCTCCATCTCTTCCCTAATTTTCCAGGATATCCTCAAAATTGACTGTAGGAAGATGGGTATGTGTGAGGTTTGAACTCTCTCCTGTATTATTTTCCAGGATGTCCACAGGCAGTGGAGGGACAGGTATGGATGAAGTGTTGGGATTGACTTCAGACTCTGTACTGTATTTTTTTCATTCATTTTCCAGGATGTCCAGAGGCTGCTGGTGAAGAGACAGGTATGGATGGGAAGATAGACTGGGGTTGATGGTCTCTCCTGTCTGTCTTTTCCTTAATATTCCAGGTTGTCCAGAGACTACCAGTGGGAAGACGGGTATGGCTGGGAGTTGGGATGGAGGTGAGGAGCGCTTTCCTGTCTTTTTCTTCCTCCTTGTCGGTCCCTGTGACGTCTCTTGAGCTGTGCGTGTTTCTCTCAGTCCGGTAGTGAAACACTACACTTCTGCAGTATTAAACGGGGCTTTTTGACTGTGGATTGCAGGTTTGATTCCAGAGGGGGACACAGTCTTGTACCCCAGAGTGAGATACTTGGAATTCAAAATTCTTCAGTTTTCAATAAAGTTTCTGGACTCTTAATTGCTTAATTGACTAAGTCTCTTGATTGGCCGGGATGAGATCTCACCCAGGTGGTGTGAGAGAGTGCTGTGGTCCAGAGCAGAGGGAAACGTCATTTGTCGGATCAGAGGACAGGAAAGAGAGAGCGGAGGTCCTGTCGTGAACACAGCAGAGCTGACTGGGCTCGGAAGCAGAGGTACCGCGTGTGGGTGATGTACAGTGTTCAGCGCAAACTTCATACTGACCGCTGTGGGTCAGTTCTAACGAGCTCTCGGAGAGCACGCTGCTGTCTGGAGAAGAGCTACAGCTCTGAGCTCAATGCTACGAAAAACCGTGTGGAGTCAAGTTGGAGACCAGCTGAACTTGTGCTTAATACACAAAGGGCTCAGCATTGGTGTTTTAATTAGCACGAACTACAAGACGCTCTGAGTCGGAGCATTTCAATTAATTTAAACCGTAAATGAACCTGTAAAGCACGTTATTATAGAATTACTTTGTGTCGTGTTTATGTATAACGGGAAGTTCTTGGTTTTTAAGTTTTAAAAGGGGCTTTTTTGTATACCAGATGAGCGTACAAGCGCGATACTCAAGGGTAATTAGTCGTTGAACAAACGAGAGCAGCGGTTGCGGGTTTGAATGTGATCTGAACGCGAATCCAATTATAGCGGCTTTTATTTGCGCTGATGAACGATTTAGATGAAGACGGAGGTCTTTCGTATGGAAGCGAACGGTTTTATTTTTCGCCTGTATGCGTCTGCAAGGACCTGAGGGCGTCTGATCAGGGGAGCTACAGAGTGAGGGACCTTCAGGGAAACACTATCGTCACTGTGGGAGGTGAGCAGGTCTACAGTAGGGTCACTAGAGGGGTCTACACTCCTGACAGAGGGGGTTCTTGTATCGCTCTCAGTCCTGATGGTCTTCCAGCTCCACTCACTCTCCCAGTCTGAGAATTGAGAGGCTCAGAGAGACTGTACTACTGCACCACCAGAGACGGAGGAGAGATCCAACCAGACTGCTTACAGGTGGGGACAAATCACACTCTTTTCTTTATGTGGGGTGTGGCAGG